TAGTGAAACCATTAAGAAGTGTTTCTTGGGACTTGTGGGTGCACCATTGCTGGAGGTTTCTGAGAAAATATTGGACAACCATTTGTCTGAAATGGTATGAGGACTCCTGCCTTCGATAGGTTATTGGCCTAGACCAGTGATGGCGAACCTTTTAGAGACCGAGTGCCCAAACTGCAACCCAAAACCCACTTATTTATCGCCGGGTGCCAGGTGGGGGTGGTCCACTGGGTGGGCGTGGTTGTGATGGTTATGGCAGATTGGATGGGAGTGGCCAAGGTGGGCGTGATCACCTCGATGTTGCTCGTGGGGAGAGACGCCTGTGGGGGCCCGGCAGGGTTGGTGGAGATCCAGGGTGTCTGCCAGGTGAGGCGGTGGGCAGGAGGCTCGTCCTGCGGGGTGAGGCAAGGCGAGGCAGGGCGGGGGTGCCATTGTCACAAGGCAAGGTGTGGCAGGGGCGGCTGCTGCCTGACACCATCAACCTCTGCACACAGAGGCCAGTGAGCGCATGGTTGCTGGGATGCATCCGGCTATGTGGGACCTCGCCGAGTTAGCAGGTGGCTCGTTGAAGAGGGACAGTTGCCATCTCCAGGGCATGGCCTGTGTGCCCACAGAGAGTGCTCTGAGTGCCGCCTCTGGCACGCGTGCCATAGGTTCGCCACCACGGGCCTAGAAAACCTTCAGGGTCCCTTCCAGCCTTATAATTCTTGCCAAGAAAACTGAGCAGGTGTGCCCTTGTCACCATCAGATGTCGAATCAATGAATGAAATTCCCCATTCATTAAATAAAATATGAAGTATTTGTCAGTTCAAAAGATAGTTATGGTTTATTCTTTCTTGGAATAAATACTATCTTTAATATTCTCAGGGATAAATTTAGATACCATGCCTGTCTGCTGAGAGCAAGGTTTGACGAGCATAAGGATGAAAAAGACATGATTAAAGCAACCAAGCTGTTGATGGCCGCTGAAGAAGAATTTTGGGAAAAGCAACATTATCAGCCGTACATCTTTCCTGACTCTCCAGGGGGCACAAGCTATGAAAGATACGACTGCTTTAAGGTCAGGAGACGACATGGCAGGCATTACACATAATCGGTTCCTCCACGTGTTGCAAAATATTGGCATTCTTAATCCCAAGAGTTTTCAGTAACTTTCATTAGTTAAGTAGGAGATTCCTCATAAAATGCAAAATTAT